GTATAGATTCCGGAGGAGCTCCTTACCCCACAACTTCCTGTAGCTGTCCCTAGTCCCCTTCCTGGGTCTGACAAAGGAGCCCACACTGCTCACCCAGTCCTTTCCCCCATCCTAGACCCCAGTGCTGTCCTCTGGGGGACAGCCTGGGCGGGGGTGATTAGCAGGGCACTTCAGCCTCTGTTTAAAGTCCCCTCTCTGAGGTGGCAGCACACTTAGCCCAGGGCCATCCTCACTTGCCTGTGTGGGCAGTGGGTATTCTTCCTGCCGCTTAACATGCTTGATTTCATTCCGCTGGTGCCAGGTGTTTTGCAAGAACCATCTACCTGTGATGACACTTGGAACATCAAAGAGAGCTGAAAAAATGAGTTCCCTGCTCCCACCCACCGGGAGCTTCCAGTCTAGTCACAGGGGAAGCAAACACAGAGGCTGAAGTGCCTCTCCCAGACTCTCTCTCATTTGGGTTCTCCGCTCCTTCCTCTGTAGTGCAGTGGCTCCCCCAGTCCACGGGATTAAACTCTGCTTCCTCAGCCAGCGACATCCTCAGGCCACTCTCCCGCAGCTGAGGAAACCCCCTCCCTCAAACCTTTCTCCACCTCAAACTTCCCTGTTTCTGCAATGTCCTTCCTCATACCTCAGCCCCTCCTTCACCTTCCCTACCCATTACCACTTGCCCACCCTTCTCCTTCCTCTAATCTGTTTGCTACAGGTACCATTATTATTATTTTTAATGTAGGTGACATTCACATAACATAAAATTAACCATTTTAAAGTGAACAGTTCAGTGGCATTTAGAACATTCACAATGTTGTGCAACCACCACCTCTGTCTAGTTCTAAAACATTTTCATCACCCCCAAAGGAAACCCCATATCCATTAAGCAGTCATTCTCCACTTTTCCTGCCCCCACCCCCCAGCCTTGGCAACCACCAGTCTGCTTTCTCTCTCTACAGATTTACCTGTTCTGGATATTTCATACAAATGGAATCATACAGTGGTAAACTTTTGTGTCTGACTTCTTTCGCTTAGAATAATGTTTTTGAGGTTTATCCACACTGTAGCATATGTCAGTATTTCATTCCTTTTTATGGTCGGATAATATTCCATTGTATACCAGTTACCATAGATTCAATTCTGACTCATAGTGACTCCATGTGTGTCAGAGTGGTACTGTGCTCCATAGGATTTTCAGTGGCTGATTTTTTGGAAGTAGATCGCTAGGCCTTTCTTCCGAGGTCCATCTGGGTGGACTCAAACCAAACCTCTAATCTTTCAGTTAGCAGTCAAGTGCCTTAACCATTTGCACCACCCAGGGACTTTTGCTTCTAACTCAGATTCTTCTAATTCACAGCCCTCCTTTCCTTATTCGTTCAAAGGGAGTAGGGGTCTTCTGGCCAGGGCAGGATCCTGGGCTGTCCAGGGCCTATCCTGGGCCAGGGGGCTTCTAGAACTGTGCTGCCTGGTCTAAAAAATGCATCATCCCCTCAACCCTCCTGGCTCCTCCCTGCCGAGTCCAGGCAGTGAAGGTGGCCCAAGGGGACAGTGTCTTCCTGTGATTAGTACTGTGGGGCTTGGGGTCAGACGCACGAGATGAGAAAACTTTAGCTCAGAGAGGTTGAGAAACTTGCCCAAGGCCAAACAGAGAGCAGGGGGCTGTGTTGGAATTAAAGGCAGTTGTGTCTGATTGTAGTTTGA